CTCCCCTCTTCCCCCTCCCCCCTCCAAGGATTGAACTCAGGACCCTGCACTTGCCAAGCAAGTGCTTATTCTACTGAGCTATCTCCCCGGGCCCTACCCTTCTCTCTTAGGCTTTGGATTGCATCTTGGTTTTCCTTTGGCGTGGGGGATCAGATCTTCTGCCTTTATACCTGGTAAATAAGTGCTGTCTATGACTGAACTATACTCCTAGCCCCTATACCTTGGTTTTATTTAGTTTTTAAAATTTTAAATTTTTTTTTTTCAATGTATGTATTTAGTACAGGGTGTATAGGGTTTCACTACACAGATCAGATGCTAGTGATCTGTTTTTCAGCCTCCCAAGCGCTGGGATTTCAGGTGTGTGCCACCACGCCCTGTCTCTGCGTGCTCCAGGAGTGGGGCCAGCACTGCAGGCTCCCCATCCCCTGCGCCTGCATCAACAGGCACTTTATTTATTTTTTTACGGAACCAGGGATTGAACTCAGGCCCTTGAGCTTGCCAGGGAGGCACTTATTCTACTGAGCCATCTCCCCAGCCTCATCAACAGGCGCTTTAATCTTCTGAGCTATCTGGCTGGCCCTTTACACCTTGTGTGTGTGTGTTTTTTTTAAATACCTTGATTAAAAAAAAAAAAAAAAAGGGCTGGTGAGATGGCTCAGTGGTCTAAAGCACCTACTTAGAACAAGTTTAGCAAAGCACAGGGACCGCAGTTCAATCCCCCAGCACCACATGCCAGCCAGCCCTGCCCCCTGGTGGGCTGAGCTGGCCACACACACACAAATAAATAAATAAAAAAATTAAAAAAAAAAAAAAAAGCTTAGTGGTATATGACCAGGGACAGAGAGAATTGAATCTTGGAGCAGATTCTCATAGATAATGTAGTTTTCACATGAACACTGGGTGGCTGGTGAGGTTCCTGTTCTAGTTTTAGATTTAGAGGAATGCATTTCTCCATTCTAATGCTACATGCCTTTTATGTATTTTTCCATAATAGGGATGGAACCCAGCTGATATAGTGAGCTGTGCCCCTGGCCCTTCCCTTTGTATTTTTGATTTTGAGGCTGGGTGCTACAGAGCCACACAGGCTGGACTTCAGTGTCCATGCCTCAGCCTCTCATGCACAGTAGCTGAGATTAGAGGAGTTGCGTGTGCTGCGCACGCTTTGCTGATCAGCTGGAGGCTTGTCCCCTGCTTTGGTGCAGGAACTCAGCCCAGGCCCTCACATGCTGGCAGACTGCTGCCGAGCTGTGCTCCCTGTCCTTAAAGCCAGTGTTGGCAAACTCCATTTCCACAGTGGTTACAGAACAGGTGGCTGGTGGCAGGGTCCTGGCATGCTGGTCTGTGCTCTGGCAGATAACTTAGCTTTGTTGCAGTGACCTGCCAGGCTGGCTGGGGAAGTATGGGCAGTGGGGAAAGGTAAGGGCGTTATGTTTAATGTTTACTGCCCGATGACCAAGGACACTTCTTCCACAGATACATTCTGTGTGTGGTTTGTCAATGACCATGTGCCTATGTTGTGGACTTTCGGATCTGCAGACATACTTTGGAAGACAGATTGTGTTAATGTCTGGATGTGGAACGCTTCTCAAAGGAGCTTTCTGGCTAAGTTAATATTAATTTCACCAGGTAGCACATCTGAAGTTGTTTTTTTTTTTTTTTTTTTTTTTTTTGGTGGATCTAGGGATTGAACTCAGACCCTTGTGCTTGCCAGACAAGCATTTATTCTACTGAGCCAGCCCCCTGAAGTTGTGTTTGTTTGTTTGTTTATTTATTTATTAACTACA